CTACTACTGCTACTGCTACGACGACTACTTCGACTACTACAGCTACTACTACTACTACTACTACTACTACTACTAGTACTATTGTGATTATTACGATTCTGATTGTTGCTGTGATTATTATCATCGCTACTAACTGTTCTCATTAGTTATTGTTACTATACAGAACTTATTGCTCTTATTATTACTACTATGATTATTACTATTATAAGTACTATGGTAACTCTTGATTCTGTTATGCAAATGGGATCGGAGGGCTTGCTCTCTTCCCCCCCCCCCCCCACGTCCCCACACACCCTCCCGCTTTTTCTGGAGAGGTGTCGTGCAATCAGCAACTGAACGAATACGAACCCTTGCAAAACCTCGGCATGCAGGCCTCGTGTTTGCAAATAGCGAGGGGGGCTGCGCCTCCCTAACCCCCCGGCTCTTGTTTGGTGCTGCGCAAGCTTTCTTTCAGGAACATCGTGCCATCAAATACTGAACCCATTTTAACCCTCGCAAAATCCCAGCATGCAGGCCTTGTGTTTGCAAATCGAGATTGCTGGCGCCCCTCAAACCCCCTGATCTTTACTAGGACCCGTACTGCTGCGAGTAGTGGTAGTAGTTGCAGTAGTATTAGTAGTAGTAGTAGTAGTAGTAGTAGCAGTAATAGTAGTAGTAGTAGTAGTAGTAGTAGTAGTAGCAGCAGCAGGAGGAGTAGTAGTAGTAGTAGTTTCACGCGCCCCCCCCCCCCACCTACCAACTACCTCTCCTAAACACTGTTTAAGGGCACATTCATTTTACTCGGTATTTACTGTACTTTCGTGATGTCGTAATCCAATACCAACCACCGCTGTTGAGGGGTGTGGGGGTGGGGTGAAACCTTCTGGGGCGGGAGGGGGCGACTTGCTTCTGGGGCGGGGTGGTGGGGTGGGGGGGGGATGATGACGCCAGTGTTACGCAAACACAACCAACAATATCACCACAAGAGCCGTTTTACTCGGTATTTGCAGTACTTTCGCGATGTCGTGCTTTCTTATATAGTTGCCACCCCTACTTCTGGACTGTGCGTCTTAAGCTTTGGTGTCCCGAACGGCTTCGAAAATGGGTGGGGGAAAGCTATTTCTCGGTATTTACAGTACTTTCGCACACAACCCCAACTTTACTCGGTATTTACAGTACGTTTGGAGATGTTGGTGATGAAAGGTGATGAAATGTGCTTGCTTTTTCGTGAGCACACAACCCCGCTTTTACGCGGTATTTATAGTACTTCTGGTCATGTTGGTGATGAAAGGTGATGAAATGTGTTCGATTTTCGATGATGTTGGTGATGAAATGTGTTTGTTTTTTCGTGATGTTGGTGGTCATGACGTTGATGGCAATGACGAAGTGTAGTTGGTAGGGGGTGGCTATTAGTACTAGTGGTAGTAACAGTAGTAGTCGTCGTCGTAGTAGTAGTCGTCGTAGCAGTAG